TGTCTGGACACCTGTTCACCTGTCCATCTCTTTGTTGACCTGCTCCACCTGCTGTGTCCAGGTGAAGTCTGATTGGCTGATCTGTAAATATGGGAACAAGCTGATGGGAAACCAAGATGGGTGTCAGAGGAGGTACGACTACGTGAGCCAGAAGCTCAGGGAACTGGGTCGGCTGCTCCTGGCTGCTAAATCCCTGGACTCCGGTGTCCAGAACCTCCAGGACCTCCTGGCGCCGGGCCGCCTCAGCCTGGCGCTGGCCGCTGCCAGAAAAGCTGCCGGGTACCGGTGGAGCCGTCCTCCGCTGGCGGTGAAGACAACGCTGAAGACGGTGTGCGAAATCGCCATCGGAGAGAGTCTGCAGGACGGAGACTGGGAGGCTGCTGCCAAAACCACCGACTTCTACCACATGCTGGGGAGGGAGTGGGACAATCTGGGGCTGCAGAATCCTGGTCCAGATCCAGGTAACACCAGAACCATCCCTGTCTGCTCAGTTTGGCTTTGAGAACAGTTTCCATCAGGAGGCATCAGACGCACCTTATCACTGCTTCGTACGTTTAACTCCATCAACACCGTCTTTCTCTGCAGCTGCTCCAGATGAAGGAACAAAACTGAAGAAGCGCCTGGTCCAACCGAGAAACGACAAGGACCACAGACCAGAAGGTGAGTCCTGACCCGGTCCCACAGTCCACCTTCAAACCACAAACCTGGTATGGGTAAAGCGATCAGGCCCCTGTTGCTGATTTTCCAGCTGACTTTGTAGAATTCACGTCACCGTTATTTCTGCAGCACATTTAACAGACACGGACTGATTACCGCCAACAGATTATTAGGGTCCGAGGACCCCTGCTTTAAGCACCTCGCCCGAAAAATTGGCACACACTTCTGAATCTGCAAAAAATTTGATAAAATGAAGAAAAAAAACCCCAAAAAGCTCTCTAGCACCACCTAGTTACAGTAAAACACACTAAAACGGCTCTAGCGCCCAGTAGGAATGTCGTACAGAGATCAAACCAACACCAAAGCGTCCGTCTCAATGAGACCCACAAATCTCGCGCTGACACCACTGACCTATCTCCAACAGGAAGTCCGCAATTTGCCTTTCAAAGTAAAAAAACGAGTGAAAACATCTGTTGGGAAAAAATTATCTTGTCTGACACCGTAAATCGTATCAACTTGAAAATCGCACAGGAGACAGAGAAGGCCTTGATGTACAAAAGTTCTGAAGGGATTTGGCGTTTCTCAACCGGTTTTCGAATGGCGAGCCGTTAAAGTTGATGAGCTGCCGCAGCCTCGGCTCATAGTTTGTATGGGTGTCTATGGGGGCATGTGCAGACATGCTGTGTCAGTTGGTCATCTACAGAATAAACTAAAGGTCCTACAGCTTTAAAAATGACACTGAGGGCTTCCTAACAAGATTTCCCACAAAAAGATGCTGTTTTTACACACATTTGGTGAAAATTGTGGCTGTATGGGAGAGAGAAAGTGAGAGAAAGCGAGTAAAACTCTCTGCTCTCTCAGCCAGGGGCATGAAGAACGATGACATCATCACAGCTCAGTGCAGCAGGTCATGTGACTCGTCATGTGACTCACTGACAGGCTGAGCAGAGAGAGAAACATGGCTCCTTCACCTGAAAGCAGGTTTCACTTGAACGGTCAGACGGGCATGAGGGTCCAACGTGGACCGAGGACCCGACCAACGCTGCTTGCAGCTTTAATTGTTACTGTTATTTAACAAGAAAACGGAGTGGAACAGAACAGACAGAAGTGCAGGAGAACAACTGTTATTGATCTTCATGAATGGATCTCATCGTGAACAGGAGAGTGTTGGAGCTCAGATATTACCTCAGTAGTTATTAATAATGAAGACGTCTGGTTCTTAGTGACAGTTTTCTGCATTTAAGTATGAATTCAGTAATCCTTATTAATGAAGTAAAATAGTTTTCAAAGACCGGTTCCTGCTATCACGTGCTGTTTTGATGTTTATCAGTTATGGGCCTTTCCTGATGACCAAGAATCGGTATCAGCATCAGCCCTTGTCACCATGTCGGTTGATGGCTATTTTAAACCACAGACATTAAGGCCCCGTTTACACGAAGCAATAACGGTGATGTCTGGATGCGTCTGGGCCTTTGGTTCACACGTAAACAAAGCGACCAGTCACCGAAAACCATCACATCTGAAATCTCCGGCCACAGTGCAGATTTGGAAAAACTCAGTCTTTACGTTGAAGACTGGAGGAAGCGGAGTCTGACGTCACAGTGTGCAACAAAAGCGTCATCAGCGACACGTGTGTGACCCATGTTTACAGTTTTTTCCAGGATGCTGATTGGCTAGCATGGCTTTATGCTTCTCATTACACTGCCCCCTATAGGTCTGGCAGCTCATAGCAGCTCTTAATGAAGTGTTTATGCTGGCTTGTGTAGACAAAGCTGTTTTTGAAAAGATCTGGTGTAAACAATGTTGTTTTTGAAAACATAGATCCGTTTCTGTAAATACCTGACTACGTGTAAACGTGGCCTCAGAGCTTTCTTTTAGAAGTTAGACCGGTATCCCACTAGGTGGTGCTGTTTAACGTCCCTGTGTCTCTACCTGTATCTGCAGTTCTCTCAAAGTCCAGTAACAGACAGGTGACCTCCATGGTTCCACCTGAGTCCAGACTGCAGACTCCCGTCCCAGGTGGGTTCTCCTGGATTCATGAGTGCTTCACTGATCCTGGTCCAGAAGTTGGTCTTGTGATGCCTGTTGGTACACTCACCTGTCCGTCTGTATTTCAGTTCCTGTGGCCCCCAGGAAGGTCCGACGCCGCCCCTGGTCATCTGCAGAGAAGGAGGCGATCTGGAGGCAGTTAGGGGTCCACGTGCTGGTCCAGTCGGTCCCAGGGAAGGAGGTCTGTCAGCGCTGTCTGGACTTGGAGCCTGTCCTCAGGGGCCGACACTGGAAGGACATCAAGAACCAAGTCCACAATCAAATCCAGAGCCAAAAGAAGCAGCAGTTCCATGCCCAGATGGACCTGGAGGAGAACCGGGAACACCAAGACCAAATCCAGAACCAGAACCAGAAAAAGCAGCAACAGCAGTACCAGACTCCAATGGACTTGCAGGACAAGGACCACACTCAGAACCAGAAGAAACAACAGTACCAACCTCAGATGGATCCACATGACCAGGACAACACTCAGAACCAGAAAAGACAACAGTACCACATTCAGATGAACCACCAAGCCCAGGACAGCATCCAAAACCAGAAAAAACCACATGACCACACCCACCTGGACCACCAAGACCATCAAGACCACCTTCATGTTCACAAAAAGCAGCTGTGCCATGGCAGACTGGACCACCAGGACCACAGCCAGGTCCACAAGAAGCAGCTGTACCAAATGGACCAGCAGACCTTGCAGACGCTGGACCGAGACACCTCTATTCTCACGGTCACACCGTATGGACATGACGGGCCGCACCGAGCACCTGGACACTCATTACTTGAGCGTGAACCTGCAATCAGCCCCTACCCCCTTCTACACCGGGCCCCAGGACCCCACATGGACCAGCTGCTGTCCAGAGCAGAGTGGGCCGAGGAGTCTTTGACCCAAAGCTACCCACTCAGCAGGCAACTGGGCCGGAACCTGCTTCAGGACGTTCCACCAGGGGGAGCGCCGCCTGATCCGCACTCTGGACATATTCATTTCTGATGAACGAGGGGCAGGTTCAGATGGACATGTCCACATCTTAAGAACACTAACGACAGACGGGCCCTCTCGTACGAGCCCTGAGCTCTCCTGACTTTATCAGAACTTTTGCTTTTTTGATAAAGACGTGAGAACATGCTGATGGCTGGATGTGGGACTACAAACAGAATGACCTTTCCTGGTACTGCAGGTGTTCCTCTTGTCTCTGGTTCTGCTCGGAGGACAAGTTTGTGTTCAGGCGGTTGAATAAATCCAGGTTCTGGTGTCGGAACTATGCAGAGCAGAGCTGCCATGAAGTACTCAGCTGGTGAAGAGGCGCTTTACCAGCTGAGCTCAAAAGTAACTTCTCCCAGAGGAGACACATAAAGACACCATAACCTTCAGTGTAGCACAGTCCCACATGTTTACTGTCTGAGTGCAAACTGTCACAAACTGTGCCTCCACTGAGTGTCTGAGGACCAGGCAGAACCACTGAGGTGGACCGTACAGGTTCTGACATGTCAGCCGTGTCAGAGAAACACGTGTCCGTTGAGTGTACGTTTTCTGTACTTCCATGACTTGCCCTTTAATGTGTACTTAACCAACCACTGCTCAGTGTTATTGCTGTTGTCATGGTAACTGTCAGCTTTGTGTCCTGTCAGGTGCTCACCAGTAGATGGCAGACTTCTCACTGATTTGAACTATTTCAGGTTTCTATGAGAGTAAAAAGAGTTTTTACAGTCCTGAGTCTGAAGTCTTTCTTTCTCACCACACAGTTTTCTTTATTCATGAGCAGGGTTCCTATGCACATATGGAAGGTATGGAATTCGATTTTATAAATTTCCAGGTCTGGAAAAGTCTGGAAAATGGAAACTTTTGTATGGAAAAATATTCATGTTGCCAAGACTATTAACACTGTTCTGTTTTCTAAAACATACAATTATGAATATCTAAAAAAAAAAGAAATGGATGGATCTGTTTTTAAGGCCCTGAGCAGCGCAGCTAAAATGTTTGTGTGAGAGCACACAGTCGGCTACGCGTTCACATCGTAGATCCGTGGCTACACGTTCACATCGTAGATCCGTGGCTACGCGTTCATATCACAGATCCATGGCTACGTGTTCATATCGTAGATCCGTGGCCACGCGTTCACATCGTAGATCCGTGGCTACGCGTTCATATAACAGATCCATGGCTACGTGTTCATATCATAGATCCATGGCTACGTGTTCATATAACAGATCCATGGCTATGCGTCCCAGAAAACATTTGAGCAGATTGACAAGTTGAATGCCCGCCCTCTGCTCTTATCCTCTTCCAACCCATTGGCCCGCCCAGGTGTTGTCACGTTCCACTGCTGCTTCCACAGACAGGTGATGTCCACAAAGTCTGTGAGTGAGATATTCAAAATGTCTTGTATGGTCGCTGACAGAACTCATGATGGGTAAATGTAAATTCTCTGACGGCTCATAAATCCCACATATAAAGACTGGATCAGGATCCTGAATGGATAAAGAAAGCTAAATGCAGACTTTGTGTGAACTCGTTTGACATCTCCATTATGGGGGAGGCGGCGGTTGGGAGTCATATGTAGGAGAAAAAACACTGTCATCTCGTCACCGCATCCTCTGACTGAGAGTCACAGCGTTTCTGGCTAAACCAGCATGAGACCAAGTCCCACAACATCAAGTGAACTAAGTTCACTATTTGAATTTTTTTTACAGAGAAGTCTGGAAATTAGGGTCTGGAAAACGTATGGAATTTTGAAATTTCAAATGTGTAGGAACCCTGGATGAGGGTCTGAACCAGGACCTAAACCAGGACCTGAGGCAGACCGAGCTGCCGTCCTACCTGGTCCAAACAGTCTGCAGATCTGTTTCAGGCCACCGTTGGGCTGCAGCTATCTCATATTTTCATCATCCAGTGTGGAACTGTCCATCAGTTGATCGGCTCCTCGTGGGTATAAAATGAGTTTGTTGCAGGTTCTGACAGCCCTCTGGTTCTGTCTGAGTTGGGTCTGTCTGCAGGACCCTGTCATATTTACAGGTCCAGCTCCAGTAACCTGCTGAACCTTGAATTTGTCCAGATTACTAGAAACTTCCAAGATTATTTGAACTTTATTAAAATGTGTCTGAAATGACACAAAACTTCCAAAATGAGGTACGAGTTGCTGAGAATGATTCTCAACTCAAACGTGTCCACAGTTGTTCCGAACTGTCCAAACTCACTCGGTTTGTCTTGTTGACAGTCCGACTAACCCCGAGTCCAGCTCCAGTCATCTGTTGAACTTGAATTTGTCCAAATTACTGGAGACCTGTCCAAAATGACCCAACTTTGTCCAAAGCAACTTGACATTTGTCCCAAATTATCAGAATTTGTGCAAACTTCAGAATTCAGACTTTTCCAAAATTAGCTAGACACTGTCCAAAATGACAATCCCGTCCCTCCTCCAGACCCTGAGTGTGGTTCTGGTGACTTGTTGAGCTGATAACAGGAAGACAGAGTTTGAAATCAGACACCAGTAAAACAAGAATAAACTCAAAGGACGTGTATGTGTGTGTCTCAGCAGCTTAACAGAACACGGCAACATTCTGACTTTACTCTTTACTAGGATGCAGAACATTATACTCTCCTGAGGTCTAACATATTTTACTGTTGGGTTCTAACCATGTGTTGAGGTTCTGGTAAAACTGCAGAGTTGAAACCAGTCACCTGTGATCACTGAAAGTTAGAAAAACATCTGTGAAACTAAACTGTCCAGCTGTGGT